CTATGCGAATGACAAACATATGAATCAGGAGAAAGACAGAGAGAGGGGGGGAGGGCGAACTCCTCGAGGGTGGGTGATACAGCAGAGGATAACGAGGAATTGAGAACAGATGTGGAGAGCGCTGATGTAAACCGATGCTGAGCAGGAACAATGTAGGCCAATATTCCCTTAATTAACTTACCGTTAAAGATATATGGATCCTGGTACTGGGGCTGGCTGAACAGCACAACTGTTGACATCGTAGACAAAGAGAGGAATCACAAAGAATGATGAGAGAAGTGCAGTCGGTGAAACACAAACAGCTCTATCACTGGTGTTTCCTAAGTCTTTTAAGATCACACTCAACTCCTTTAATAAGGCAGCTATGAAGTATGAAACGTTCGCATCTGATAATTATGTGGTTTTTACATCTTCAAGCTCTAGCTAGCACTACTGCAGGACCATTATTGCAAATGACAAGTCACAATCCCATCAAGCTCGGGAACGTGGGGAGAAAGACCGCACATGGCGTGAGGGGTTTGGGCAGGAAGCCTTTCTGCTTAAGCCTAACCATTAGTGAGTGAACACTGAGAAGAATAACACCATTACACCACTACCAGGAGCCTGAACAAGGATCCATGGATTCTTTGCGTTCATGTTGGTTATGCCAAATTCTGACCCTAACCTGAATAACACAGTAGAAATCGAGACTCATCACACCAGGCAGCGTTTTCCGATCTTCTCTTGGCTAATTTTGGTGAGTCTGTGAGAACTCTAGTCTCAGCTTCAGCCATGGCACGTTCACCTATCTTTCTCATTCTGATGCTCGGTTTCAACTTCAGCAGGTCGTCTTGGTCATGACTACACGCCTAGATCCATTTGATTGGATGATTAAGTATTTGGGTTCAAGCAATGGAACAGGTGTACTTAAAAAATGCCAAGTGAGACTTTGTGCTGCTGTATCTCACTATTATTCAGAGCAGCATACATGTGTTATCTTTGCAGCTTTTTTTCAGTTTGACTCAATTTTGTTGCTATTCGAGGAATAGTGAACATAGTGAATAGTGAATAGGAATAGTGATCTTTGTTTTTTACAGTGGGCAGCAATTTTCTGTTAAAATTTGAAAAGTTTCGGGAGGTTTTCGGCATTTTTGGTCGAGAGCAAGGAGTGTGTGGGACTAAACTGGACAACGGTGATAACAGGTGCTGTTGGGGCTGTTTTGTTGTTGAGGTCTGAACATGAAATGAATAAAGGAATAAATAAACGAGTAGTTTGACATTTTTTTAAATGTTGGCAGGGCTTTGTTGTTACCTTTAGACTGAACTATTTATCTGTCATTTAATCTTATTTAAGTTGTTGATCGAGGAGCTTTTCATGCATGATACAGACATCAGAATGGTATCAGTTTCCTTACCTAACTTGAAGCAAGAAAGCAAATAAATCTATTATACCAAAATGTCCAAACATTTAGTACTGAGCCTTTGGTGTTACAGAGAACCGATTTGTTTTTTGAAGCTGTTTCAGCTGGTAGAGGCCTGTGGTGCAGTTACCTGGCATGCAGAGTAGCAGGAGGACTCTCATGGTCGCTCTGGGAGGTAGACTGACTTTAACACTGGAGGGAAAATGAGAGTATTAACCAAGACAAAACAACATGAGGGGGATAAAGTGCTCAGTGCTGGACACTGCTTTGGTCTCCTGAAAACTCGTCTCTTCTCTTTCCCCCGTCCTCCGTCACCTTTCCACCCCCCCATACTTCTGCCCCCCTTAAGCCATCATCCCCACTGTGACCAACACCACCACCTCCTCCACCGGGGAACTGTGGCAGCAAGAATGTGGCACGTCTTCCTCAGAACAAACTTTCTGTTTTACAGCTTTTCCTCGCAGCAGCACACAGTCCGCATTCCAGGAAAAGAAACAGAGGACCCCTCGACCCCACCCCACCCTCTTTCTCTCTGGGTTTTCTTCATACCTCCCTCTTTATGCCTCCTCATCCTTCATTTCCCTTCTGTCGCTCTCACTGGTCATTTCCTACCAGCCCCCCCTCCTTTCCCCCCTTTTCTTTCTTCTTTACCCGACCAAGCAACAGAGCTTTTTTAAAAAATAAAAAAACACTCTGAATCCGTCAGTGACATTCATGAAGTCACACTGTTACATACAGTAAAACTCATTACCTTACACTGACTAAAGTACTTTTCCACTTTGTGGAAAGTATGAACGCTCCTCCTCCACAGCTGCTGCTGCACTGTGGGCCACTTCATGCACTAAACCTGATTGTGTGGTACATACACGAAACCCACTCTTTTCTTTTCTCCCTCCCCTTTGTTTGTGTGTGTTTGTGTGTGTGTGTAACTAAATGCAGATTTTCTAGGTCACATTTGGACACAAAATCTGTGAGTAAAACACTTTTTGCACAAGTTGTGCATGCATGCCAAGCAATTTGTGCATCTTTGTGTGACACTAAAACACACACACACACACACACAC